TGGATGGATAAACCAACTCCCATTTGTTGGTTATTGTAGTTGGGTGCTAGCACAAGTATGCATATCCAGTCGGGTGTCAAGCACATGCATCTCTGGACAAACCCGTTCAACTCTTTTGTTCCAGTTATTCAACCCAGTGATTGCATTCTCCCTTGCTCCACTTTCGACCATCTGCTCTTCACCTGTTTGTTTGTCCTAATGTTTGCGATTTGCTGCTTCATTTTTTCGTCAATCAACACACAATACACCCATCTGTCTGTGTGCCTCCGGCTACGCGCATTCAGTTCCATCTGGTTATCCCAACAGAACGGTCTGGTTATTTTGAGTGCTTGTCTTGGAACGAATATGGGCCACTTTGTGACCGCTGCTAACCATACTTCTTACGCTGTTTGAACGAGGTGCGCGATAGTCTGGTGTTTTGTTTCGAGTACCGGTCTGAAGCAATTTCGGTTACACACTGCTAACAGTCTGTGTGATGACTGCTCAGGTTAGCGTGAAAATACAACGGACCGTCAACCCGATCAGAGTGCTGGGATTGATAAACTAGTTTAAGCTCTTATGGATCGAGTATTGCTGTCGCTTTTGACGACCACTTTCTGAAGCTGATCAGGAGTTTAAAATCAACTTTTCGGACGAAATCGGAACATGTAGCTGTTCGCACGTTGGATGAATGCTTTGGTTTCCATACACCTGGGAACCGTCCTTGAGTCTTTGCTGACCTATATTATTCTTGTATCCACCTGAATTTCTCTTGAATGTCACATATAAGAAAAGGCGAATGACTGATATCGAGGACAGCTGCTTTAAACGATCTTTTTACTCATTCCCGTGACCATAGTTCCTCTCGGTATGCTCGCCAACCTAATTAGTGTTCATTTTGTAGCTCCATTGGGACCTAGCAGCCCTAGGCAATTGCTTCAGTTCCCAAATTTATATTTTGTGCTTTCAGTTACTAGTCCTTGGTTTCTGAGACCGGGGATTTGTTCACATTTCAGACTATATCAGTCGTATTTTCGCAATTGATGAATCTCATTGAGGATGAACTGTTTCGCTTAACATTCCTCATGCAGGCACCGACCACTCCCCCATTCTCACAACTACCCTTCTTCCCGTACAAATCAGTATAGTGATGTGTATGAAAGTATACGCACACCTACCTCACTCTCCGGTATCTGGACATTCAGTCAAACAATGCGCACACACAGTTCTTCAGGTGACTAAGCCGTAGACACACATCATGCGAGCTGTCTGGCTGTCTGTTTTTCTCCGTTTCGAGCCTTTATCTGACTGTTTTTCCCAATCCGACCAGGTTATGAGTTAAAGTTAGTTGCATTGAGTCAGCCGCAACCGTTGGCACGCTCCCATACTACCTTGTTTCCGTTTCCCCACTCCCTGTCATTGTCACTTGGCGCCGCTCTTTATCCTCGATCCTAATTTGCCACCCCGATTTTATGAGCCCACAAAACAAAGATTCATTTGTTTTGACGATCGTCTAATGGGTAACATCATATTCTCATCGGAATGCAGCACAATAAAACCCAGGGGTTACGGCAAATGTCAACCTAGTTAAGGTGCGTCCAACTACCAGTAGTTAGTGGCCCTGATGTTCCGAGACCTGAACAGTGCGTTTAATCAATTCTCTTTTCTCGGAAAATCACTGGCGTCTGCTCCAATTTTCATCTACACCTTCACTCTATTTTTCATTGTCATTCGACTTTCTTCTTGAGATTTATTTCGCATGGTAGCTGAACGATTTGAGCCGTATCTGGTTAGGGCAGTCGTGATTCACACACTATTTTCAGTTATTACTATGGGCAAATGCACGCCTATGTGGTTTTTATGGCTCTCCCCAATAAGTTGCACCGTCCCAGTTCCTGCCTGATAAGTTAACCGCGCTTTGTTCAACTGCCTGCGCAAGTCCTTGGAACAACGTGTTACTCGGTATTTATTCACTGAGTTGTTGCTGCATGGTGACAAAGAAACCGGGATGCGCATCGTAATCGTTCAATCCGTCTTCCAGACTGCTCTTGTCATATCACCGAGCGAGTATCTCTTAGAATAATCTCGCAATTTGGAATTGTTGTCACGAGCTTCTTTCTGTGGTCCGCAATTACAAACAGCGGATGAGAACCGCGATCGATATACTCTGCAGCCTAATTACGATAGCGTCATGAGCGTCCACATCTGAAATCCAGTCTTTTGGTGATCAGTGGTAACGTTGTTTCGACAAATACACTATCTGTATATCAGTTTGGTTTTCACGGAGGACTTAAATTCAATCTCTGGTTTATGATTTCCTTAATTGAATGTGGGGCACAAAGTCCGCCTCATGTTTCAGTTGGTACGAAGGAAACTACTCACAAGATTGCTAAACTTCTTCGACAGCCCACGACCGGCATCGTCCTTCTTGGGGCTCATCAGGTAGGCGCAGTGCCGATGTTCCGTCAACCTCATATTCTACTTAAATCCAAATCGCATGAAATTCAATAAGTACACTCATTTGCACATCAACTTGGTTTTCACGAAAGATTAAACTCACTCTCCCGTGTATGATATTCTTCAACTGAATCCGATGCCACCAAGCCAACCTGTTCGGTTTTCGGAACGTGATCAAGGCAGTTTTTAAGCGAGGTCTTCTGTAGAATTGGTTCAGGGTCACTACAATGGTCTCTCATGCCAGTGAGATTTCACACAGATTTCATCCATCAGGGAGAGTTAATCTATGGTGGATAGTCGGGGTCTATTTTGTAGTCGCCGTAATATCATCTGATATGAACTACTTGACTGCACTGTGCTGCTCAACCATCCGTGGCTGAATGTTAAATTCCTATCCCAAATGTTTCAGGCTCGGTCCTTCTTGGAGGCCAAGGAAATTCACGCCACTGAAAGTTTCCGATTAGGATGAAAAAGCTGTAAAGTAATTCTGTAAAGTGACAGCGTTGACTTGAACTACAGGTGAATCAGAGGCTTGTCCAAATGCCGTTGAATTAAAGGCCTTCTTTGAGAATCCATCCAGATCCACACACCACTTTTATAACGGTGAATATCTCTAATAACTTTTCGGAGGAATATATATTGAGGTAATGGGAATTTTCTTGTATGATTTACGTTTTTCGCTACTTGAGAGTCTCTGCAAAAGCGTGAATATCTGTCATTCGTAAAACCGAGTGTGACCAATGAAGCAGCAGAGAAAATTTTCGAAGCTTTTGAACAGCTGTCGTCACTGCAGATCGCTGCAGCCGGTGAGATGATCGCGGTGAGATCATAGGCTGTCTCTGCACGCTCACCGATTAGCGCCGTCAGGCGTCCATTGTCCTAGCCTGTGATAGACACTTTGGCCCGCCCATCGAGATGATGTAAATAAACGTGAAAACTACGTTCCACTGTGGCACCCTTTTATTGTATAGCCTCCGTGCATGTTGGCTTAGATGTCGGCAGGTCGCCTTGGGTTGGGTTCGGATCACAGAATCTTCGGCCAGTAGCTTAACCATTGAGACATCATTAAGCAGTATGTGGGGCTGTGGATCGTGTTACATAGCGACGGTTGGTTGGGTCCAAAGTTGCTAGCAGAGTAACGACCAAAAAATACAGAGGAACAACTCCAAGGCGGTACTACAAATACTCTAGGTTTACCATCCCTTCCGTGATATCCCCTGCATTCGTGGGTCTTCGGAAACCGGTGTGCATCTCAGTTGCTCAGCCCCTGTCTTGCATCGCA